TGTCACGCTGACTCTCTCGGAGGAAGTCAGATATTTTGGGCGTCATACTGCAAAAAAGCTAACATAGCTATCTAGAGGAGTGCCCTAGGCAAGCAACAACTGCCACTTACATCTACTTCTTCTGCGGGAAAAAATTGGGCTTGAAGCCCGATATTATTCACTAAAAGTACCTACAAGTTCGTTGTATTTCAGTAGGATTAAACTCGAGTTTAGAAAATGGGGTATCCTAGCAGGAGCTCTAACTTAACCCCAGTTTTAGGATATCGGATTTCTGTAGCGGTTTTAAATCTAAATTATCAATAATCAATGAAGCTATAATTATAAGGTAACGATCACTTAACCTTTAGGTAGAAGCTATCTGATACTCAGGTGGCTACTAAAGCACTTGAATGTGATAAATCAATAAGAATAAGAAAAGTAATCCAATGTAGACATACCCTAAATGAACTGGCAGAAAGGCACACCACACATTTATGTAGTATAAGCGTCAGACCAGAGACAGCAATGAACTGTATGACAGTTGAACCAGTGTGTAAGAGAACCTCTTTGTCTGCAGTCAATGCCATTCTCAGCGCAGATATACTACTATCATCTTCGAGGATATCATGTGTCACTGCTTGAGGGCGACGTATGCCAATATAATGGGTCTACAGTGGAATTACGTCTGTCGTTGTCGGCGTGATGTAGAGGGAATCGGTAGTGTAGAGCATTATCACTGTCGGTGCGCCGCATTTACGAAATTCCGCCGATATGCTTTTCATCACTACTTTCTTGAACGTCTTGTTTAACTCAGTACGGCTAGAATCTATGATATTTTTACCTTCATCAGAACGCAAATTGGTTTAATTCTAGGGAAAGGAAGAATATAAGGAGCACCTATCACAGCATCACAAAAGGCATATGGCGGCTTAAGTATTGGATGAGGGCAGTCACGATTACCTAACCTTAGATACACTTGGCTTTTCTTTTATTTAGTAATATTGCAGCCTTCGTCTTTATATATATATTTCACCGACCAAACCCGATTTTCGGACAAACTAATTTTGCTTAAGCTAAGCTAGTTCTACGTACATTATATAGGATAAACCGTTAAAGCCTGGGTCAAACTGGTCTGGCCTAAGCCCGATAGGATAAACCAGTTAAGTCTGGGCTGAACGCGGAAACAATTGGATGCAACAATACTGTGGACTGCGTAGCCAGAGTTGGACTGGTGAGGATTATTTTTTGAAATGTAAATATTCACCATTCATATCGGTTTTGGGCTAGAGCAGTTTGACCCAGGCCTGACTGGTATATCCTATCGCATGCAGGCAGAACTAGTTTAGACTAGGTAAAATTAGTGTGTCCCAAAATCGGGTTTGAGCGGTAACATATAAGTAACAAGGCTTGCCCCCTGTCTATGAAGGCACAGAGTAATTTGGCGATGACGAATTCATTTATCTAATGCGCCAATGTCAATTACTTTCTAAACACAAACTTTTTTTAAATTTGCCATCTTTGAAACTCATTCAACTAGAATTCCATATCACCACAAAGGATTTGTATAAGTAAGTAGAATTTGCAGAAAACTAAAGCAGACAGCTCAACAAGTGAAAGGCTTCTCTTGTTGCCACAAGAGGAAATAAACAATTGCCACCACTTTGGTACTTGACATACTTGGACGCCTTAATTAAAACCACTTTTTCTCCAACACAATACGAGTACGAGTATGTGCTGAAATCTCACATCACCAAGTGCTAAATAGAAGCAATGCGCATGCAGACAGCCACACGTGGACTCATACATACATATGTACTATGTATGTATGTTTGTATACCCATACGTTGAGTTTGTTCCTCATTGCTACTGGATCGCGCAAAAAACGCGCTGATCAAGAGAAATTCCTACTCGTCGTGAAGAGCATTTGGTAATACAACACTTTCACTTTGACGGCAACGTTGAACGTTCCACTTCTAGACACGATCTTGAACGTCAACACAAGTAGAGTCTAGCATATGAATTATTGCAATTATATATGAATGTGTGCGGATATTTAAATACGTACTATGTATATTGTTGAATGTTAATACCTGCTGTAAAGAAAAACAAACGGACATTTGCGGTAGCGAATCTAATAAATAAATAAACCCAAAGCAAAACAAAAAGTGAGAAATAAACCGACAATGCGAAATGCTGTGTAGCAAAACCCGCCTGAAGCAAATGTAAGTGGATATCGAGTTAAGCAGTTACTTGGCGCAATTAGACTCGTCTGCTTTACAACTGCGATATCGCTAAAGCATCCCAGTAGGCAATTTACTGTTTCCAGCCACCAGAGAATTATGGCATAAGTCTCGGATTAGCTGGATATTATTCATTATTCTTATGAGTAGTCATTAAAGCTCTACATCGGCAATGAAGATGCTCTATAGCCTCCTAAGTATTAAATCTATTTTAAAAAATTTACTACGAGTTACAAAATTTTTTGTAAGGCCTGCCCAGTTTCTGACGTTGGAGCCAACCGAAACAATATCCAATAAGAATCTTAACGCTTGGTCCTGAAATTGCTAACAGATCATGTAATCATTTGAGGCTGTAAGTATACGGGCCACATGTATTTGGCTATTTGGCAGGATGACAACATTTGGCAGTGATGACTCGTTTGCTGAACTGTGTATGTACTACATCTGTCTAAATGAGCTGTGCTTTACTTAACTAGCTTCGATTTAACGCTAAGCGCGACAGAGCTATGGTAGAAGATCTCATTGCCATCCTCGTATCGTCACAACCCGCACTCTGTCTAGTTTTTGTTGATTATACAAGCTCCATAAGGCATTCCCACCGAACCTGGGAATCATTGGTTTGGATTATTGATAGACCCGAAAGCCCATATGAAGCCTAAATTTTCCAGAATCTAATGAATTTGAGAAGGAAATACAATATACCTTGCACATTCTCATCCAATGATCCGCCATCTCAGTCCAATGAACGACTCACAGCTCTGTACTATCCTCGTTCTCCAGGCAACTCCCGCTCGAACTCGGACCTCTTTCCTTGTGGATGAAAAGGAATTTTGCATGTGGCCTGTCTGGACGTTTCAGGAAACACATGGTTTTTAAACGTTCTTTCATGTATGTACCTGACAGTTCTTGCTACACTTGGCCTTATAATTCATTCCGGGCCCATTGGATGCCCGAATAACCGCGATTTATTAAGCAATTCCTTATCTCTAACACCAAGGTGTCCTGGCGCCCATATACGTTCAAACTTACTCTATTACTCTAGTCTTAACTTACATTGCTAGACAGTTTTTGAAGGCGTAGGTAGTATGAATGGTTTCCAAACTAATTGAAGCAGCTTGGCTGTCACGGCAGCCCTCGATTTGGTATCACCCCACCTTTCGCCACTTATGGCGTTTTTGTTTCTACCGAAAAAGGTTACCTTCTCTTTGCCCTCTACGCATAAATACTAGGCAGAGGGCAATGAGAAGGCAGAATTTTTCGTAGAACCGAAAACGCCATTAGTTATTAAAATTATCACCATAACGGCGCTGCCACCTACCATCCCCTAGTTTGGTTCGAGTATTGATGAGTCATAAATTTGATGAAATTACCCCACCCTCGTCCCAATTCTCAAAACCTTTCCGATTCTTAGCGTTACTATTAAATTGGAACTGATACATTTCTCGACGCCAATCTCGTCTAAGCACATGGTTAAGGCCTCCTTTATACTTCGGGAAAAGACAACAGAAATATTGGTTAAATTTGAATCACCTTTCAACAGTTCTAGCGACTTCATGAAGCGTCATCACAAAAATGCAATCGCAGCGGAACAACCGTCGGAGAAAATAACCTTCAGGAAAGTTTCGAGAACAAAATAAGATAAGCTGATTGAGCAAAATTTCTCAGCATAGATGTTCCCTCGCCGTCCGGACTGGAATGAAGACTAAGTCAAACTAAGCCTCAAGGCGCGGATAATTGATTTGGGTGCGCTAAAAGCTTCGAAGCATATTTCGCCTTCCGTCGTGCTTGATATTCTCACTTCGGATATACCACGGTGCTCTAATGATGGATATCGATATTGCTACTGCTCCCGTTGCCCCATAACTTACATCGGTTTTAGAACCATGCTGTATATAATCACTTTATACTTCAGACTCTGGGGTGAACGAGAGTTAATAGGACAATATAGAGGACTGGCATTCAACTTAATATGAGTCCTTTTAGCCTCTATGTGGATTCGCCAAGTAAGTCGCCTGTCTAGGCGAACTCCTAAAAAGTGAAGGGCGACAGTTGTTGTTATTGAGGGTAAATGTGACTTGCTTAAATTTTTGCTCGTTAAAGCTCGAAATCGAAAAAATATAATGAACACGCTGGGTCCTCCAAATTTAGCCCAACACGTCTGTAGGGAAATGGTGCCTTTCGGGTTATGTACGGGGCTACAACAGGACCAGAACATCAGACTAGATTCTTCCGAATCCAGTTAAAAGTTCTAGCCACTCTGGGTAAGTAGAGACACAATGCCACGTACCGTCTATGGCGAACCCGCGGACAGAAAACGAAGGACTGCGATGAACGCAACTTGTGGTGGGGAAATACAATGACAAGGCAGAAAAAGACAAAGGCAAGGACGCAGTCAAAGACGACGACAAAGGCAAAGAAAAACACAGAAGTCATAGACAAAGACAGAGATAGATATAGAGATAAAGGTAAAGTCAAACAAAATGATAAAGATAACAGTTAAGATAAAGACTAACGCGAAGACAACAATACATTTAAAGATGGCGGTTAAAGTTAGGATTAAGATTTATATTAAGCTTAAGATTAAGAGTAAGACTAAATTTCACTTCTTCCGCACTTAGAGAGGGACTACACGCACTCAGTTATTTGCTTTCCAGCAAAAAAATTTGTGTATTTTTTCTGAAGTTTCATTCCACAGAGCATCCTTTGACACCAAAAAAGTCGTAGTTACCCAATCCTAACTAAGCACTCGATCATAAATGAAGAGCACCCAATTCAACTTACCATATGTGACACCGAGTAGCAGTGCCAGCAACAGGCAGCGGGGTGTGAAGGATGTTGTAAGGCGGAAGAGCGGAGCTACTCGTTGCGTTTGCGCTGCTGCAAAAGACAACCGCGGCTGCTGCGTCGTTCTCCTGCTACGCTGGTGTGTAACACTCTTTCTACGTTGCTGCTGGGCACTTTCAGATTGCCCCTTTCGTGTTGTCATAATCATTGTTGTTGCAGATAGTGTCTTTGCTGCTGACGCCCCTTGCAGTGATGTCCAACTGCCGCGGCCGCTGCTGCTTCCACTTGAAATTCGCATTTCGCGTGCTTTGATTGCGCTTCTTTGCTTAAAATGAACTAGGTATATACTTTTTGCTGTTCTGGTAATTTATTAAACTATTTTTGTTTTTGTCGTTTACTACTAGCAGTGCAGTGTGATAGCGGTGATTGTTGTTGAGCTGCTATTTAGCGTTTATTTATTTTCTCCTAATTTGTTTTATGCAAATCAATTCCAATGCCTTGACTGAACCGAGCTGAGCAAATGAGCGTACGAAGAAGGCATTGCGCCGATAACAGTCTTATGAAAGCAATAGCAAAAAATCTTTTAGAGACCCTCGTTAATGATGTATGTATGTACTTTAGCGAGAAAATATGTTTGCAAAATACATTAATAAAAGTTATTTATGCGCGACGCATGGACTTGTTGGAAATTCAATATTTATTTTATTTGCTTCTCTATTTTTAAGTACTAAATTCGATACATATTTGCATTGAGGCACTGCAAACAGGTTTGTTTTATTGTTGTTCTCTTTGTTTCAGACTTTCGTTGTGTTGTTATTGCTGTTGCTTTTTAACTTGGTTTTAAAACCTATTTTGCCTCGCACGACAGCAAAAATGGGCAGCGAGTTCTTTAAATGATTGACTTAGTTCATCGAAAACAGGAGCACACTTTTCATCACTTTAAGAATATGGAATTATTTTTCTCTCGTAATTATAATTTTATTAATAAAACCACACAAATTCCAATGAAATAAATTTTTCTTATTCCTTAACCTCGCTCGTCGTTGTTGAGTTGAAAATTTTCGTAGTAGGTAGATAGGTAATTTCTTTTTCATTTATTAAATTTACACCTTTCCGTTTGCGGCCATCTCATTCGCACTGGCTTAAAACCACTATGCAGCCATTTCGTGCCGTACGTTTGCTCACTGTCATTGCCCGAACAACAACAATAACAATAGCAACACTCACTACACAATGGCACTCTCCTAACACACACACCACAACGGCACACACACACACGAACGCGCACTAACCGACAGCAACGAATTCACACAACCGTTGTTTCCTCGAGCACTTTTTCCACAACGTCCGGCTGGTCCGAGAATCAAAACGTAACTGAAGTTACAGGTTGTTGAGGCGCTGCTTTAAGCCGCGTTGCGCTTTGCCCACTACACGTCTGTAGGTTCCCAACAAACACCACCGATATGGCGTTCACATTCTGCCAGACGGAAATGAGATAACGCTAAAGTGTTATTGTTAACAAATGTTGGTTGTTAGTAAGCTACTAGACAGGTTAGTGTGCGACTAACTGCGAGCAACGTTGCTTACAAATGGTAAGCCGGCAAGTAAGTACCTATGTATGTATGTATGTATGAGGAGAAAAGGTAAAATCGATTGTGCGCGAATTGGGCTGGAAGAAACGAGAAAACGAGTGAGTAAGGCACAGGTAAGTAAGTAGCAGCATGAACAGGTATACACACAATTAGTAAAGTGGTTAATTGTCAGGTAATGTCAGATACATAAATACGTATGGAAACAGTTAGAAGAGGGTTGTTGTCTTCGCTAACGTTGCTTGATCGATTGCGCGCCAAAGGTAGTCGGTGTAATTGCGACATTGCTGGCTTACCGTTGGTAAGCGGATGTACAGTGGTGGCGAAATTTTAGTTTAATAACAAAATACGACACCTCGATATATTTCGTTAAGTCTATAAATAATGATAATTTAATAAATATCGATAACTTGATACATTTCTTTAACTTGACAAATTTCGTTAATGCCACACGTTTTTATAGCTCGATAACTATCCGTAAATTTGGACAACTAAGTTTCTGTGTCTATAAATTGCGACAACTCAGTAAACATTGATCAGTTTGAATAATTCGATACGTTGCGATAACTTAATAAGCATGGATAAATTTCGATAATTATAAACTTCAATGATTCGATAAATTTCAGTAACCTTTATGGCTGATTTTATTTCGATTCCTATCGGAAAATTTCAACTCTGTTAACCTAATTCTTATGTATTTCTCATTATCTCCATTTTCGCCTTTATCTCACTTTTCGTCTTTATCTTCACTTTTGCCTTTTTTTTGTCTTCATCGTTATCACTTATTTCTTCATCTTCATATTTATCTTTATTTCAAAGTTTAATTTCAAATACGAAGTAAAACAAAATGCGAAACAGCTTTAATTGAACTGGTTGCAAAAACAACCATACACAAATATGAAAATTTTTAAACGACGATTTTCAACCAATTTCGAAACTATAAAAACTCTCCTCAACTACAGAAAATTACCTTTCCAACGGTGTTTTTGGTTTTGAAATCGGTAACTTTACTTTGGTCGTCATCTTTGTTTTTATCTTTCACATCTTTGCTTGTGTCCTTTTCTTTTCACGTAGATGAGATGAGGTGCGATGACGTGATAAGATGTGACGTGATTTTATGTGATGTGATAGGATGTCATGTCATGTGTTGTCATATCCTGTGATGTCATGTCATATGATGTCATACCATACGATGTCATATCATGTGATGTCAAGTCATGTGATGTCATATCATACAATGTCATGTCACGTGATATCCTGTGATGTGATATCATATTATGTGATGTAATATCATCTGATGTCTCTTTATATTATGTGATAAAATGTGATGTGATGTCATATAATGTGATCACATTCCATGTTCCGATTAGTGTATCGATAACCCTGTTGATTACTGTGTCGATAAAAATACCGATAACAATATCCATAAACATATAGAAAAATACAACGATTGTAAAATCGATTAATGCATCGATAAATACAACAATCATCAGTAGCGATTATTGTAGCTATCGTCAACATATAAATGACTAAATCGATAACAAAATCAATTGTTGAATCGATTATTATACCGATAACAATATCCATTATTGTATCGATAACAGTATCGATTATTATATTGATTATTATATCGATTACAATAGCGGTTATTTAATCAATAACAGTATCGATTATTTTATCGATAGCAATATCGATTATTATATCGATAAAAATATCGAGTATTATATCGATAACAATATCGATCTTCATCCTCATCCTTTTCTTCATACTTATCTTTATTTTTTCATATTCCTCTGCACCTTTACCTTAAAGTGTTTTAATTTACTTTGATCTTGGGTTTTGCCTGTACCTCTAGGCATCTTTGTTTTTGTTTTTATTCTCAAACCGCTAAACCGCTGAGAACCATTTCCATGTGCATTATTCCCCTTGAATTTGACAATTTACTCCCAACCAACCAACTGGCGCTAAAGAAGTTTCATTTAATAAATTCAAGAAATGTTCTTACCCTTTCAGTTACCCTAATTCGTATGTATCTATCATTGACTCTGTTTTCGTCTTTATCTTCACTTTTGCGTTCTTTTTTTTTTACTTCATCGTTATCATTCATTTCTTCATCTTCATATTTATCTTTATTTCAAAGCTTAATTTCAAATGTGTAGTGAAACAACAGGCGAAACATGTCAAATTGAACATGTTGCAGCAACATCTATACACAGTTCGAAAATGTTTAAACGACAGTTTTGGCCGTAATTTTCAACCAATTGTGAAACTATAAAAACTCTGCGGAAAAATGCCTTTCCAACGGTGTTCTTGGTTTTGAAATCGGTTGGGTAGAATCGCCAAACGAACGGAGACAAAATTTATGTTAGCGTATTAATATATAGATTTTGTCGGTCAGTGTGTTCTTTGTACACTTGATAGATAAATAAACACCACTGGCTTCCATATACATATAAATATTAGAGAATTTTTGGGTAATACCGTAGCGGTTTTGAGTCATAGCAGTGAATAAAGAAACCCGTTTTGGTAGACGAGTTCAATTTCGGGAAAACATTTTTGATAAACCAATTTTAAGGCGGCTACGGTTTGCAGGTCTAAAATATTTTACATTTGGTACAAGTATTTATATATTGTATGATTGTATTTAATACAACGTTTGCATGTGTATTTACCTGTGAATATTAAAAATACCACAAACTTACAATAATGCAAAACTATGTCAATGCATAAATTCTTCCGACTCCGTACTTCAAGGTAATAAAGTAGAGTTTTCAGCATAATTAACATGCTAATGAAGTTGTTTAATGTTCCTGCAAATTTATGGTATGTATATAACGGTTTTCTACAATTTGTAAAAGTCAGCTGCTAAACATTGCGTTAGCCTTATCGACCCTACACAATTTCCGCAAAAATATAAAAGCCACAGCCAACGCTTTAACTTCCAGTCAAATTTTCAGCACGCTTACAACAATGTTAATTTTTTACGCAATCGTGCTTTTAAACTTTTTTGTGAAGCTCATATCCGGCGCTCCATACCAAAACTCTACGGTAAAAGTGATTGCTCACAAGAGAGACTTGATCGATTTGTCTCGGTTTGGCGAACGCCTTTTCGGCTATCCTGATGTGGAGGCCGGTGAAAAACTCTCAAAGCTCAATGCAAACTCAACGGAGAATCCTGAAGAAGTTGGACCATATCTGGAAGGCGATCTACTTGTGCCGCATGACAAAAAACTACCCTTTCGCAATGGTCTATTAGCCTATAGCGCGCGCTGGCCTGGTGCTATTGTGCCTTACGAAATACATGGATCGTATACCAAGAAAGAGCTCGCTGTAATCGAACATGCCTTTCAAGAGTATCACAGCAAAACTTGTATACGCTTCAAACCACGCAGCTATGAGCGCGATTACATTGACATCACCAATGATAAGAGCGGCTGTTGGGCGAGTGTGGGTCGCTTGGGCGGCCGTCAGGTAGTTAATTTACAAGCTCCACTATGCTTCCGCCAATATGGTACGTCGTTGCACGAGCTGATGCATGCTGTCGGCTTCATGCATGAACAAAATCGGCCCGAACGCGATAGTTATATTCGAATTTTGAGTGAAAACATTAAGCCCCACATGCTTGAGAATTTCGCGAAGGGTTCGGCGAGAAAGCAGTATGACTTTGGTGTACCCTACGACTATGCAAGTGTGATGCATTACTCCAAGAAGAGTTTCTCGAAGAATGGACAGCCGACTATTGAAGCATTGGTAAGTAGGCGGGTGAATAAATAGATGCTTTCTTTTAAGCGATGTTCTCCAACGATAACTGCCATGGCACTTCGGCGTTAACGCTTGCCGTCAGAAAACGCTCTGCCCAACGCTTTTGCTTAGGTATGCCAGTAAGATGGCTATTGCACCAAGGAACTGTTTTTAATTTCCTGTGCAGTTATGTTTGAGGGATTGACTCTTTCGCCGATTGTAGTAAAATTTTCTGGAGTTGCTTATGTTTAGACTGACAGGTCTGATTGACTCATAGTGAGTACATCTTCTTTCGAGTAGTGACCAATTTGCACGATTGACTTGGAATTTGGGTTTAATGATTATTTGCTAGTGATTTCCGCTCGGAAATAAGGAAATGCCAATCGGATAGTGGTAGCTTCCGTTTAAGTCATCTGAAGTCTTCCATTCCGCATGCGCGGCGAGATCGGGAGAACAGAAAGTCAAATCGAGGTGAGTGAAGATGTTGTGTGTAGAAAGGTGATTGGATTGGTTGATGAAGCTTGCTAGTATGCTCCCTTTCGGTTATTTTTATGTGAGCCCCCGTTTTGGTGCCAGCTATTAAAGTCACCTGTAATGGTGTGTGATGGTCCTAGGCCACTTTATTTCAAGTGGTCGATAGTCGTAAATGTATCATATTTTGAAGGCCGTGAGAAAGACTTCTAGCTCGATAAACCATCCAGCTTTTTACTAGCTAAGCGCTGTCCGACAAACTTACCAACCTCGGCCTTGTCAGACAAACTATTCTAACCCAAACCTGCTTATTTTTGTCTTAACTCCATAGCTTAACATACGACACAAAAATGGCGCACTTGAGCTAGGAAAATCTAGAAAAGTTCTTGGGGCTCGTACAGAGTATTCAAATATCAAGACAAGAAAAACTCATTCGACTGCTAAGTCTGCAACTAATAAAACGATTGAACTTTATTAAAGTTTCAGTAGAACATACATAATCAGTTCCAGATCAAATCACCGATATTATGGCACGGACAGAGTCATGGGCGACGAGATTATGATATCGAAATTGACTCCAAAAATATTCGAGGGAAGCCTGCATGTACTTATATGCAGTACAAAGACCAGAGATATGGGATTGCATTGACTATGAAAAAATATTGAAGGATCATTTCTAAGCAAATGTTGTCAATATATTTGATATGCATTTCCCAGGACATTCGCTGGAGCATGATCTGATGACTCCTGCCTCCTCGGAACACAGGTACAGTGGGCTGTAGTTTTTTGAATCTTTCAAATCGGCAGGTGTTTAAGGGAATTCTCCAGCACTAATGCAAAGAAGTATTGAGCACATCATTGATCCCCTGACCGAGCATTTAGGGCTAACAATTTCTGTAAATACATACCCGACGCTTGGAGGAAGGTGTCCATGTTATTTATTCCTAAATCAGGAAAGAGGCCCCTTGGCTTGGCGAAATCATACAGATCTATTAGCCTGACTTCCTACACTGTGAAAACTTTGGAGAGCCTGTTATTCTTCCATATCTAGTAAGAAGAAACTGAGTGCTTCCACTCAAAGATAAAACAATGGATTTGGCCTTATAGTATCTAGTTAGGAGATTGCTTTCGATAATACTGCTTATGGTTCTACCACGAGGAATTCGTCCAAAGAGGCTTACACCCAACTACTCTTAGACGCTATGCTTCGTGAGCGTGAGCGTTACATCGTCCCTAGTCATGAGAGGTTTCTCACTGGGAGGGGTGCTTTCTCTCTTGTTTCGACTACTTGTGGTAGGCAGCCTCTCAATCAGACTACATAAGTGTTTTAACGATGCCGTGGGTTGCCCGAATGAATGGCATTTATAGTTATAGGAGCTGTAGACAGGTACTGTCTCGGACGTAACAAGTGCAGCACTTTGCGTGGTCTTAAACTTATGTGGTAATGATGGCCTCAACATACATCCCCAGAAAGATGTTATTGTACCGTTTACAACAAGGTATAAACCAAACCTTGGTTAGGTCACTCTTGGAGGGACAGTGCTTGAATACTCGGATGAGCTCAAATATCTTGAGATACGCTAGATAAAAGACTCTATTCGTCAGGAAGCTGTTGCTAAAGCCACACGGGCCTTGTGAGTCTGCATGGAGTTCGAACTCAAGGCTGATAGAATGGCTCTGCCATATAATCCGTCCGATTGTGTCCTATGCATCCGTCATTGAATCAATAAGAACTTGCTCAACTGCGAGTCTAGAGTCCACTGTAGGATGTAGGGTTTGTAGGATGCCTTTTTAGCTTTCTTTCCAGATAGCCAAGCAGCCATCCGCGCTCTTTCAAACGAGATGATAAAATCCAAGACTGCTTTGACACGCTACAAAATTTGGCAGCGAAAAACACGGCAAAAGAGGTCGCCGACGAGTTGATACAAGAAAATTCCTTTTTTGGGACCTGAACCCTACTGTGGTCTCAGTTAGTCCTCTTTGAAGGCCATAATTGCTTAGTGGGTAAACTCGGAACGCAGTAAATACTGGGAAGTCATAGACAGGACAGACTATTTGGCTACCCTTTTAATGGAAATGACAACGGGGGGCTCTCCGGGTGCCTGACTGTCCACAACAAACTGCGATTTAACACGCACCGAATAGGTGTGATCGCAGAGTCTGAATGCGGGTCCGTCTTGAAGATTATGGGACTGCAGAGCATATTCTCTGTTAATGTTCGGTTTCAGCCGGACAAAGATTGATCCCTTTCAAAGCTCCAATGATCGAACACTTTGTAATAAATACGATTCGCCAACCAAGGCAATTTTTGGATTCATTAGGGAAGCTGAAGTTATCTAGGGCACACTCTCTTGGGGCTCTTCAGGAGAAAAAAAAAAGATTTTTAAGGTTGCAGTGCTTTTTGTTCTGTTACATCCCAGCACAAACTAACTAACTATATATAGGACACGTATTGAGTACCTGGAATATTTCAGAACCAACTAGCATACATTTTCTTTTTATTTTCAGAAACAAACTAAGGAGGCGCAACTGATGGGCCAACGCATCGGTTTCTCCGTAAGTGATCTAGCTAAATTAAATGCGATGTACAATTGTAGAATAAACTAAAAAACAAAAATATTAGACAACTTCTTTTTTAAGAAAATATGCATTTATTATATCACTAACACTACAATGAATAATTTCAAATAAACGAATTTAACAGCACAATCTCATTTACAAATCTTTGGTTTTTTTCTTAAATTTTCTTCAAAAATCAACTGCTGGATTTCATTACTTTTTTCTCTACAAAAATAGATATGACGTATATGTATGTAAGTATTTCATAGCACTTAAGCTCCACTAATGTTGCGTTATATTCTTGTGTTTGCCAAAGAAGACATTATCCTTCGTGGTGAGCTCATTGCAGAGTGACGAATAACGGCGTATGGCCATAAACGAATCGGGATCTTTTAAGCGATGTGGGAATACGGAAAGTATTATTAAATTAATAATAAAATTGTATTGTTCATATTTAGATATGTTTATGTATCTAAGGTGTTAGTGTAACAACATTATGCAATTATGTACATTAGGGAGGTGCAAAATTTATTTTCGTTTACTTTAGTATAACCAATGCTGTCTTGAATGTGAATTTTTGGCTCAAAATTTTATACTCAATAGCGATAAGTCTATGTTTTTAGTTTTCCAACATCTTATTGAGGGTTCGAATTTTTTAAGGATTTTTTTTTTTGTATTGTTTGAATCAAAACTACCCTACACACATATTTCCTGGAAAATCCCTACCCAAACCCTCCTACTTTCCGATTTTAGAGCCAGATCAAGATGTCATACAACCCTCACGGAGGATTAGTGAGGCCAAGCTCATTCATAAAGCCAGTGGTACATTGGGTGCTTCGGACACCAGGCGATCTCCGGTGTTACTCAGCTGATTTCGGCCCATGCGAACGGTTGTCTTTTTCTGCTAAGTACTTGTAGAACCAATTATGGATACAAAACGAAAATCCCTTTTCAAAATAAGTACTTACACCGCCAGAAGCAATTAAAGATGCGGCACCACCACTCTCTCTTACCGCAGAAAAAGCTTGCAACAAAGGCACTGCGCATTAATACGATCGTGTAGCCTCGCACCAAAGGCTAGTTCCTCTCACAAAAGTGGAATCAACTAGAGCACAGGCCGAGTGTCCCATGTCCGCTTGTAGTAAAATGTTTATGATTGATAGGGAAGGCAAACAAGGTCAGCAAGAAGACTTGCGGTAGGGCAAAAGGACTTCAACAAAGCACACATACATATACCTCTAAAGGCATCCACCAAGTCCAACGTAGTGATAGCCACCGATGAAAGTGAGACCAACACGCAAGATAACTCAGATCCGCCCTCATTATGTAGATACCGACGTTGACTGGTTAGATGGAAAGCCAGTTACCCATGACCATAGTAAATCCTTGGAGCTGTGCAATACTACTATCGACACATAGCCAAAGTCTAGTCACAAGTACGCCTGCAAGTTAATGAAGCACGAGATATACCAACGCGACACGAGACGCCCGATTCATTACCGGTAACACCTTCGGACCTAGCGGAAAGCTCGGAGATGATCGAAGAGCTTGACCGTGGTAGGTAGTTTCACGCACGGTTCTATAGCAGCGGCAACAAGACTAACTACACTGACACTAAAACTCTAGCCAACTAACCGGTTTTCGTGGAAACTGAAAAGCCACCCATCCATTGCAAATCATCTTTTTATTTTAAAACTAACAAACTTTTAGTGCGTAAGAAGTACACATTTTTGTATTGTAGCGGCCCTCGCCTAATCTGCTAGTCTATCCATCATTTATCTTCTTGTATCGGCACTACTAAGATCTACCAAAATCGGCTAGGTGAAGAGATGGTTGGTGTCGTGGGATACACATACGTTTGGCATGCCGGGGAGAGTTTGGGTGGTGAAGATATTCACTAGGCCAGAATTTAATAGTTTCACGGTTTGTAGATATGCCTTCCTAAATGCCTAGAAGGAGGCTCTGCTTCTAGCCAGTATCTATTTGATACCTCCGTGCAGCAGCAAACCGAGAAAAAATTGCTTACTGAACAAGAAATATCGCTCCTTGACGGGGATCATTGAGGCCTCGCTATGCATGTTGTGGTCAGGCGATATCAAAAGGATAAATTTTGTTCTCCGGAGTGCAGCGTGCCGGCAAGTCTGAAGCTTCGTCCAATGCGTGCTACTAGCCTGTGGTAACCAAATAGACACGGCATAATTCAGAACCAGCCGCCCAGTTTTTTCATATGCCGCTAGAAACATTTCTATCTCTTTGCCCTACGAGCTGCCGGCGAGCGATTTGATTGCGGCTCTGACAATTGCGGTTGCGTATGAAAGATAGCAGGGAGGAGATATCCGTTTCGCCCCAAGTCATTCGGACGCCAATATCGAGTAATCGATAGGCGTGGTAATCTCAGCATAAATTTTTAACAAAAAGTTCAACTTAAAATCGAGTTAAGTCACGTATTAGTTTATGCCTGCGAAATCTTCTGGTGGTGTGATACTCTCCTATCTCTCTTGAGACTGTGAAGAAGCTCTTCAGACTGTGAAAAATTCACAAACCTCGGCAGCAAAGTTTCCATCAGTGGCGGTGCTGATGAAGACATTGACCGCCGAAAAAGTAAACCCAGATCGACCTGTGGTATGTTGTACAAGTTATGGAGAAACAACAATTTGAGCTCAAGCTTAAAAATTAGGCTTTTCAAATCCAACGGTCTTTCTATACTGCTGTATGGAAGTTCCACCTAGAAAGTAACTACTGAAATAACCAGGCGCCTTAGAGTTCCCTTAAACAGATGTCTTAGAATAATACTCTGAATTTTTCACCTAAAACAATCTCAAATGAGAAGATGCTCAGAAAAGCCTCTTGACATCTGGACACGGAGCCAGAAATGGAAGTGAATAGACCACACTTTGCGCATAGACGACGGTAGTATTCCAAAGAAAGCCTTGGAATTAAAGCACCTAATCGGCAGAAGCAGACCTCCAGGCTAGACCACACGAAACGTGGAGAAGAACATTCTAGTGGGAGGTGAAGCAACTTGGGTTAAGCTGGAAAGAGCTCGAAGTTATTACCTGAAAGATAACCAGATGCCGCGCAGGCGTAGCAGGTGCTCTACGTCCTGCTTGCAATTAAAGGAAACGAAGAAGAAGGTACTATATTAAGAGAAAAAGGATAAAATTAAGAGGGTATGCATATTTAAATTCGCCCAAAAAACTCCATTAAGTTCGAGGAACCCCTAATGTGCCTAACTAAAGCCTTTTTCGGAAAATTGTTCGTCCTACATGTCCTTATCTAAATTAAATATTCAAAGAATTCTTTAAAGTGAAATATTTAACAAAATTTTTCTTGAAATATTTGTTAATTTTCGAAAATTTATCTTCTAAATTCTATAACTTTTTTTAAATCAGTTTTTTCATATTCATTTTAAGTTGAGATTTTTAGGCGTTTTCGAAAATATAACCCTTTACGATATTTTTTGTAAATTTGTTTTAAAAATAAATAATGCTCTGTACTTAAATAAATATCTATGCATGTATTTAATATAAATAGCAAGAATTAGATATCTAAAAAATATTTACGATAAGTACTTCTGAGGGGCTGACAAGTGTCCATGAAATGAAATTTTTTTATGTATATTAGCTGAAGACCCAATATACAGTGCCGGCCACTTAAATAGCGCCCTTTTTGATCGTCAGTGTTAACAGTTTTCCTTTTGTATATTTAATACTCATTATTTTTATATTTTTTTTTTAACGTAGCATATTCTATAACAAAAACTATGTAAATCCCGATTTTTGAACCGTATATAAAATTTATATTAATTCAAAAACGTCCAATAAAATATCAAACTTTTTTTTTTAATTTAGTACAATATAATGCACGCTTCAAGTTCATAAAATTCAGCATGATTTTTGATCGTCTAAAACCAAAATCTCTAAATTATATATTTTGTGTAAAGTTTGAAACGGGATGCACATGGTTTTTTAGTATAGAATATACCATATTTTTGTAAAGTTAGTATGAATATTAAATAAACAAAGGGAAACTCTCTCAATACTGAAGAAGAAAAAATAAAAAATGGTTTCGAATGCTCAAAATTTCACAATTTCCAGTATTTTGCAAGTTTATTTTTGTGAATTTCAAGAAAACTGTTGAAGTTAAAAAAATGGCTCGTTTTAAAGGTGATATAACAAAATAAATAAAAAAAAATATATAAAAAATACAGAATATTTTAATTTAAAAAATCGTAAACCCAAAAACTTACTTAGAGGTATTTTACTCTAACTGATCTTAAAAGATCCTTCCCTTTTTTTGGGGTTTTTCTAAATATGAAATTGCAAGATTTGAAAAAAATTTTAAATTAAAAATAAATTTAAATTAAATAAAAATTATTTGACATAACTTCGAAAAGTTCAAAAATATGTCTTTAAAAAATTACCTTGATGAAAATTTCAGGAACTTCTAAGAACAGTTGGAGGTATTGTATAAAAAAAAATTGCCAACTACTTTAATAAGGTTATGCTTTTATTTTTTTTTTCAACTTCTGTAAGTTTTTTATTTTCTTATTTTTAACCAACTTCAAAAAAGGAGAAGTTTATCAATTCGTCGGAATATTTTTTAAATTTTTTTTGGAAAGTTGCAAAATGTATCTATGTCTTAAAAAATACCTTCCTAACAATTTCAGGATCTGTTAAGACCAGTTGGGCGTATGGTATAAAAAAGAATTAGTCAACATTTTTTATAAGGTTTTGCTGTTACAATTTTTTAATTTCAAAATTTTGTAAAGCTTTTATTTTTTGAATCACGGTTAAAACGAGATGAGAACAATTTTTGTAACTATAATAGTTTCTGAGATATTCAAAAAATTAACTTGCAAAATCCGGGAAATTGCGAAATTAAGAATTTTTCATCTTTCGAAAAAAATGTTTATATTTTTCTTTTGGCAGAACTTTGTTACATGATAAAAGAAATGTTCTGACCAAAATCAAAAATGGTCGATTTGACTAGGATTATAGTATATTCAGCATTTAGTTTCAAAGCGTTGCATATTGCAGAAAAGCATTGGAAATAGTAACAAACTGGCTGCATAATTATACATTATGTAAATATTGTAACACAGTTTTGGTATTTGCAACTATGGAAAAACAGTTAAACTAGCATAATTATTAGTTTTGTTTGAACAATCATTATAGCTAAACGAACAATTACCAGATTTGGTTAAATTTTTTAGCAAACTAATTCAACTAATCATAAAAGTGCAGTGGTTTACATAATTTCAAGTGTAAATTTGGTTAATTCATGCATATATAAATATGTAGTAGGTATAATCCAAGCAAAATTGTTATCACATTTGGTGTTTTTTTTTTCCAACATTTACGCATACAAACTATTGCGCATACAAACTATTGCGCTAAGCAGCATTTTTAGTAAGTACTTTGGTTAAAATTTGCTGTTTGATGCATAATTATTTTTTTTTGCACTTCTTTTCGAATTGCATCAATGCGGTCTAATATATGCCACAGCATTATTGCCTTTCGTAAATTTGGTGTTGTTAGTAGTAGTAGTGCTTTCAGAAACAATTAAGCGCACGCGGCAACGAGGAGCCGGCCTACCTCCGCCGCCGCTGACAGCAGTAGTACCTCTAAAGCCAATACCATTTGTAGGACCATGTTCGTGATCGGCATTTGTGCAGTAAGCGATATTCGTCGAGGAGCCGTAACGCGAACGATTGTTGAGGAAATCGCGTATATGCTGGACAATCAAATCGATGGCAACTGGAAAAAGAGAATTTTTGTTCATTTTATAGTAAAATGTAGTTCTACTAGTAGAGTAGTTTTAAATGCAGTTTAAAAATATATTATTAATTAAAAAAAAAAATATAATAATTAGTTAGCTAAAGAAGCAAACGAAATCGACTTAATGAAGTTGGAAAAATTAAAGCTTACCTGTTAGCTTTTCGTTTGGGGGCGGACTTCGAAGGCGATACGAGTAGATTTGTTACTGGTGAAAACTATCAACTGTGCCCAGTGATTTCGTGGTTAAATACAAGTTGGACTTTTTTTATTTACTATGCGAGTGGTATGTTGTATGTACATTAGACCGTACCAGAAAAAAAGGTTCGCCGTACATCCTAGAGTCTAAAACAAGCAATTTCAACATAAATTTTATTTTTTTTTGGCAAAACGTTGTGGTCGTCTTTTTACATGGTTCGTTATAACTTCGGCATTTACAGTCGGATCTTAGAGTGTGTGATCCACCATTGTGACTGGTGGGACACTGAAAAGAACTCTATTTTACCTTTCTGCACTCAAAGACGATTTTCAACCGAAACATTTAAATTTTAAGGCAGATTTTTTTGTGTTGTAAAATATATCATATATGCTTTCGTTTTCTTAAAAAACTAGGCTAAAACAGTATTTATAGAAATTTTAACAAATATTTAAAGTCGTTACTGGTGAACAGGCCTTTTTGACAATTGTAAAGCAATTATGTGTGAAGTGTCCATAGACGAAAATTACAGCTTCTTTTGATGTCGAATACGTCTTACGTTTCGATATGGAGGCTATGCTCAAATGTTGTAGTTGTAATTTTTAGAGCTTTACGAAAACGCTTATTGGACGAGACCTAATGAAGCGATCTGAAAGAAAAAGTGGCGTTTCAAATATATAATTCTAAACCTTCGACAGATTCATTTTTGTAAGTAATCAATTCGGTTTCTGTCGTAGAAACAACGGTAAATATTGGCTTATTTTTGGGACAATTTTGAGCCTTTAAAGTACTCTAGCAACTTACGATTTGCAGGTTAAACTTTCATCATCTGGATATAGGTTCTTTGGAGCAATAGAAATATTATCGTGTACAAACTTTATATAAGTTCAACAAATATTGAGCATTTTAATGCAAAAAATTGTTGGAAAAATTAATTTTTTTTTTCCAAAATGCTCGAAAACCGCTCGAATGGTTTTGTTTTTGTTTTCTTTAATCAAAAATTCAAGATTTTTCCTTTCATTTGGTATATGGGAAGTATTGGTTGATATCTTCTAAGTATGTTTATTTGATTCAAAGATATGGGCATAAATAATTTTCCAAACAAAATCACTTCGTCATCATTTTGCAAACACCTCCATGCGCTGGAAGTGAGAGAATGAGACAAAAAGTATAAGTGTGTAGGTACTTCGGCTTTTGAATAACAGATGGCGCAATATTTATAAAAGGCAAAGATGTTGGGGAATATGTAGATGAAGAATATGATAAACATAAAAGAAAAAAACAAAGATAAATACAAAGAAAAATATGACGATGAGGATACCGATAAAAGTAAAGATGAAGATAGAGGAAGAAAGATTAAAATATAGGTAAATAATTATAGAGAAAAGGATATAGACAGAGACTCCATCTGGGACTATTTCGGGATTAAGGAGATTTTTGGGATTCTCGGGACTTATCGATATAATAATCGGTATTTTATCGGTTTTGTTATCGATATGTTTTTATCAATTTTGTTATCAAAATTTTTAATAAACGATATTTTTATCGATTTTGTTATCGATATTTTAATCGATTTGGTAATCGATTTTTTTATAGGTGTTGTAATCGATTTTGCTATCGGTATTTTCTTCGATTTTGTTATCGATATTATTATCGATTTTGCTATCGATAGTAATGTCGCTTTTGTTATCGATATTTTTTTCTCTGTGTGTGGTTTCGGTTTTGACTTCGATGTGCACATAACCATACCACGTATTCTACGTTGAAATTTAGCGGTTGTGTCTCCGATACAGCCTGCGGACCCAGACGAAGGCGCGGGACTGTTCCTGTTTTGTTTTTTTTTAATATTTTTCATCAGATGAGATAATGTAATGCAGTCATTTACTAAGAGGGTACTACCGAAATAGGAAAAATTGATGCCTTTTAACATGTATGTCCTTTTTTCTTTTACATGGAATGACCCATATATCGATAGTATTGAGCCTTATGAATAAAAAAATAAGTACATAATTGCTTTTTCTTAAAATTTCAGACCTTTTACTTAAATTTGTTTGAATAAATCGAGTAAAAAGCCTGCAGTTTTAAGAAAAAGCAATTGATTTTTTACGGAAATTATAGCCCAACCCTGCATACTCAAAAATGATCTAAAAACTCTGATTAAAAGGCTTGAAATTTTGATGATTTTTTTTGAAATTTCGCAAGCTTGCCCAAAAAATTAAGCTTTGATTTAGATGGTTTATGTTACTGAGGGCCAAATTCACAGTGCGTAGTTAACTCAGAATCGGCAGTTAACAACAGATTTTCAGTACAAAAATCTGTAGTTAAATGTTTGGAGTTTCATCACGCGGAAATGACTGAACGGATTTGCATTAAATTTTGAACACAGATAGTTAGTTTATGACCTAGACTGTAAAAAGGTGTAATTGAATTAATAAGTTCAATCAAATATTACAATACGGTTGTCAATGAAAAAAAGTTTAAGAGAGCTTAATTTCGAAGATATTTTTGAAGAGGGTTGCCACCTGTTTAAAAATTTTCATATTACATACATATCTCTGGAAGTATTTGTGAGAGAGTACTGGAACTTGCTTTGGAGATACATATGTATGTCAAATCGAATTCATACTCACGGAGAAAAATGGGCGTGGAACCTTCTCCCATACTAACTGAAACTTTCATATTGCATATCTCTTTAAAAATTTGGAGTAAAGTACTCAAGCTTGGTACGGTGATATGTATGTATGTGAAATAAATACCATACTCATGGAGAAAGGTGGGAGTTAATAGACAAGGGGGCGTGACAACTCCCATGCAAATTTATATTTTTTTCTGCTGCATATCTCTGAAGCTGTTTATTGCAGAGGACTGGAACTTGGCACCGAGATGTGTATACAAAATTAATTCCATGCCCATGGAAATAAATTGGGGCTATTCGATAAGGGGCGTGGTATCTCCTGTACAAATTTTCTATTTTATACTGCATATCTCTAGAGAAATTTATGTTAAAGTACTGGGACTTAGTATTGCGATATATAAAAAAAGATTACACGTTTTAACGGCCTAAATACCTTAACTGCTATAACCAAAAGGGCAGAGAAATAAAATATAACATCTTCAAAATATTTTTCATATTTGTATAAAAACGTGAGGTGAACCCCTGGGGAAAAAGCTAGTATTTTAATAAAAAAAAAATAATAATTCTAAACTTCAAAAAAAAAATTGGCCAAAATGAGCAAATATAAGGATGTGAATACTGTGTCTAATAGCTTGGCGGGGTTCGGCCAAAATAAAAAATTGTTTGTTCTACGAAATTGCCTTGAAAACGTACTACTTTAGGCTTAGGGGTGTATGACGAACTTCGGTTTGTTTGCTTGTAAAATATTTAGTACGGTCTAATGTACATACTTATAATTATATTGATATTTATTACTTAAGATCTTTAAGTGCTTGTACTTACTATACAGTGAATAAAATTATAATCTTATACAGTTTAGTAATTAGCATTATATTTCATACCTACTTTTACGCATACTTTATGGGGCCAGCTTGTGAGTACATAGAACAAGTAAAAATTGCTCGACTTCGAAGGTAGTGTCCACCTTCACGAATGCTTTTGGTGTTTTCTCCCAATCGCGTTCGAGGCTTAACACTTCTAACATCTAGAATAATTCGAACTCTTAACTATGCTGCTATCAGAGGTAGCGTCTGAGCAGACACTTGCTGGCAGCAGAACCAATCCCTGGGCACGTCAGAAGGCACCTCTACTAATTCACGGACGAGAACCAGACATTGCATCGACAGGCCATCAACGATATCTGTCGATAAATAATCACCACCATTGCAAGTCAAAAATGCCCCCGCAAAAGAACCAAACGGAAACAAACGTAACGGGAACAAACAGCAGTTTGAACGGGAACAAAAGGTTCGAGATCATTTTCAAAAAGAACAGAAAAGCATAGAATTCTCAAAAACGTTCTCAATAAGAACATAATGGGAGCGAAACTTTCGGAAACGTCTCCAATGAGAACGAAAGTGGCGAGAACGTTTTCAAGGAATGTCTGAGCAAGGTTCCGATAGAGAACAGAATTCTAAGTCAGAGGAAAGTTGGATCATTTCAACTTCCACATCGTTTATCATTATCCATTTATAGAAAAAAATTTATTTTTCAGTGCAAGAAAAGTTCGTATTTTAAGCCTTTTATTGACTTAATGCGCGTAGTTATCATTCAGTTCGTTTTTGAATAATTTTAATATTCAAACATTTCAAACTAATGCAAGGCTATGAGAAAGGTTCGGAGATTATTTTTTCCATTTCGTTCTCTATCAAAAAGTTCTGATACTTTGGTTCCCAAACGTTCCGGAGACTTTTGTTCCCATTTTGCTATCTTAGAAATGTTACCGAAAGTATCGTTCGCATTTTGTGCTCTTTGGGAACGTTCCAAAGGGTTTTGTTCTTATACAATTCTCTTTGAGAAAATTCTCGACCGTTTGGTTTTCACTTTCGTTCATATAAAAACACTCCTGAGGTTTTGTTTTTATTTCGGTTTGGGATTTTAAGCATTCTTGGGAAAAAAATAGGATAACGATATTCAGTTTCGATCACACCTTGTGTTGTCGATCCCTGATTTCAAGTGAGCCCAACTAAGTTCGTTCAGAACGTTTCTTTGTCCTACCATTAGTTGTGCTTGATGAAGACGATTGCTACTGGCTAGGAAATTGAGAACTTTATTGCTTGAACTGAGAGAAGGCTATCAAACGTTAGTGCAGGAATCGTGAATGTAAAGTCCGCACCTGATTGAGTTTTTAATTGAAGAAATTTTCAAGATCAGATGCCTCTCATATCGGCTGCGAATATTTTATTTTGCGTCCATTCTTCTTATTCTTTATTGAAGCTGTAACCGCCTAGGCGATTTTGCGTCCATTAGTTACGTAGAAATCGTTGGCATACACTTAATTGGCTTCAGTTGATGATTGAGAGGTGAAATGCGAATATGGGTGTCCTGAGATTGTTCTTGTTGTTTTAAAAACATAAAATGTCATCACAGTTTTGGGGCGCTCGGCTTTCGCGAGTCGAGTCGTATCGACAATTACATGACATTTATACAAATTTCGACTTAACTAGCCAAGAAACTAGTTAAAATTGACTGGTTTACTACAGACCACCCGATAGCTTTAAAGGTGGCAAGTGCATCTCCATCTTTTTTCTTAATTTTCTGCTGCAAAGTGAGTTGAGAAGAGTGAGAGTGCACGTAGTATTTCTCTTTCAGGGTGATTTTTTTAATTGAAATTTCAAAAATAATCGTTATTTGCGGTCTCTGCATTTTTACATCAAGTGCTAAATCTTTTCTCTACAATTATTCTCAAGTATTTCCGTCCCTTATGTATATGTACTTACATACACTATAGTTACGGTGACCATCCGTTCTGTTTTTTGCAGGACCGTACTGTTATTTAAAGGTCTGTCTTGCGCAGTTTTTCAAAACAGAAAACCCCCAAAATGTACTGATTTTTTCCAAGTATCCTGCCTTTGTCCCGCATTTTCTTTGATATTTTAAAATTAACTTTTTTGAAGGTTCAACTAAATATTGTACGGTTATGGACAAAGGATGACGAGAAATTGAAGACCAGCTCCAAATATATCGATAACACTGTTCTACAAATTTTGTGGTAATCGCTTAAGAAAATAAATATTTTCCAACAAGCGTTTATGTAATATTTTCGAAAAACGTGTTTTTGGTACATTTCGAACCTATTCGTCAAAATGATCATGAAAAAATTATCCAATCAACATAATTGACCTACAGTCCTCTTACAAAAATATATTACTTTGCCGATTTCGATGAAAATTATTAGTGTTACAAGCGACCAAAATCGAAAAATTGAAATTTCCATTATTTTCTTTTTACAGTAAATGAAAATCTGATGGGAAATGGAGATGTTACGGAACACAATCTGCACAAAAAATAAATATTTTTGCAAGGCGCCCATCAATACCTTTCGAACTGTTGGTCGTTTCATGAGATATTGTGGAATAACTGAAAAAGTACTAAAAATACGCTTTTCGAACAAATCTCGAAAACACTTCTTTGAAACCATGGGTATTTTTTTTCGTATTCAACGACCCAAAGTTTGCCTAAAAAATTTACTTTACAGAGGTTCATATTTGGTGTAAAGTAATATGTAATATGCCTTATTATAATTTTGCAAATATTCAATACTAAAAGATTAATACCAATGAAGGAAATGTGATTTATGTTTAAAGTTTAAAGTTTAAAATTGGATTAATAATTAAGAAATATACACTCTTCGTTATTTGAATAACGCATCCTTTTAATGCTTAGTAGGTACAGTTTTCCTTTTGTTTCTTTAATATTCATTAACTTTTTATAAAAATATAGCATACTCTACGTCTACATCCCATTTTAAAAATCTTTGAAAATTAAAAAAAAAAATAAACATAGGGGCGAATTTTTTTTGTTGACGGTGCTGCGCATTTTCTTCCATATACAAATTTTGTCAAGCATACTTTGTTTGGTGGAAAACCAAAAAAGGGTGCGCTATTCAAATGACGAAGAATGTATATATGTAGTATATTTTTGTTATTTTATACTACGCAATTATATGTATGTAAATTTTTTGAAAAATTGTCCAGCATTTTCAAAATATATTTATGGTCACCGTAACTATAGTGCAAAATGTACATATGAGCCGTTTATTTTGAAAGTGGCATAAGTCACCTCAAACCTTCTGTGCTTAAATGAGCGGTTACTTGCACCTAAAAGCGTCGCTTATTTATTCGTTCAATTTCATCAACCAAAGGTAAAAGGTTGTATCCATTAGTTTATGATGGTAGAAGGATTTACAGATGCATTTGGTTACAAATGCACCTTATTTATCTTATCAGTCTGCTTACTTATATTGATAGTATGCAGTACATGCTTTGCCATTAATATGGAACATATGCTACTTGTGTAATCCCGAATTTTGTTCAAAACATAAGCAGTAAAAATAAAGTGACGCAATTGATTTCTTAAATATGACCATACTGATAGTGAGAGCTCAATAAAATTGTTCAATATAATAGTGATTAATAGAGATTCTGTCGCTTAGATTGGTCTAATTTAAAAAATATACATACATATCTGTGACATTTCATTAAGCAACTTATATCAACATAGGCCATTTTCTCTTTAAAGGAATTTTTTTTTGGTTTTGAAAACAATATTTTAACGATTGACTAGCCATAGGTGTAGTTTAAGACAACCTTTTAATATAAACTTAATAAAAATATAAAATTTGTCAAAGGAAACTTATTTATTTTCAAAACAAAAGTCAAACCTTCTAAAGTCACATACGCTTGTATTTTAATAAGATGCCATAGATATATACATACATATGTTGGTATAAGTATATCAACACCTATTTTCGCTGAACGAAAATCACGCAAACTTCTTGAGTTATCATAATTTGTTGCTGATTTTAACCGTTTGTTTTCTTGCTAAAAATATTTTGAGTTTAAGCGAACTTTTTTAAAAATAATTTCATTTGCGTTTTGCAACAAATATTTTTATTAAAGCGGCAATAAATTTCAGATGGGTATCTTTACGCTTAATTTATTTTTAACAAAAATAACTTTACTCTATGAATGTATGTATGTATTAGAATTGCCTAAAAAAAATTACGTTTAATAATTGAATGCGGTAGGTAGGCATAACTTACTATATAATTTAGATATGTATGCAAGTAGTGAAGTTCTATATGTATGTAGTTAGATATTTCCATCTACAGATATTTTGAAAAGTATGTATTCTTACTCGAAAAGTAGAACAATTGAAAGTTTACATGTATAAATGCTTTAAAATAGAAGTTCAATAGAAAATACATTTAAATTAGTTAAATTATAGTAAGAAATTTGTAGAATAAAGTTAAATTTAACTATAACTTTATGTTATTTATTATACTAGTTGGCCTATTTATCTATTCCAAGCTGTATATTTGTGTATTCTTAATTGTGTTATTGACCAGCAAAGTAATGCATGGTACTTCAAAGCTTAAGGCTATTAAAAGTTACAAAAATAAAAACACGAGCGCAGATGTTAAACAATTTGCATTTAACTATTTTCCTCTTTTTGTGCGGCCTTAATGTTATTATTACTACATTATTTTGGTTAGCGGTGCTGATAGCGTGCGCTGCACACACCCTAAAAGTTTATGTATGTATGTATGTCAGTGTTTTTAAGTGTAAATGTTTGCTCGTGTGATTACTCGTGTATTGCCAATCGAATTGGTTGGTCTCTAGCTTATTTTATATATTTTTTGGCTACTTAATTTTTTTCTTGCTTAATTTTTTTTTTAGATAGATAGATAGATATTTAATTTTAGTGTTCGCGCATCATGCCGCCGTCAGCTTTATTATTTATTGTTGTATGTACTGACGTGGGGGCATATAGGTTGTTAGTGCTGCCGCCGGGTCTAAGAATTTCTCCGATATGATGTACAATG